CCTATATAGTCATAGTCAAGTCAAGTTCATTTCGCACTTTGTAAGTTAGAGTTATTTAGCATATATATATATATATATATATATATATATATATATATATATATATATATATATATATATATATATATATATCAAAATTAATTTTATAAGTCTAGAACAAAAAGAAAGCGCAAAAAGGCAGTTGTGTTTATCAAATAGAGGTTTCTATTTGGCTACAAAACGGCTTCATATTTATATTTCTGAGTGCTATAACGTAACAAGGCAAGTATCAAAAAATACCGCTCTCAAAATTCCAGCTGCAACAGTATACCTCCACATTATAAAATATGTCAGAAAGTAACAAATCACGAGGAAAGTAACAAATTGCACAAGGAAAGTAACAAATCGAACGAGGAAAGTAACAAATCGCACGAGGAAAGTAACAAATCGAACGAGGAAAGTAACAAATTGCACGAGGAAAGTAACAAATCGAACGAGGAAAGAAACAAATCGCACGAGAAAAGTAACAAATCGAACGAGGAAAGTAACAAATCGAACGAGGAAAGTGACAAATCGCACGAGAAAATAACAAATCGAACGAGGAAAGTAACAAATCGAACGAGGAAAGTAACAAATTACACGAGGAAAGTAACAAATTGCACGAGAAAAGTAACAAATCGAACGAGGAAAGTAACAAATCGAACGAGGAAAGTAACAAATTACAGGAGGAAAGTAACAAATCGAACGAGGAAAGTAACAAATTACACGAGGAAAGTAACAAATCGAACGAGGAAAGTAACAAATCGAACGAGGAAAGTAACAAATCGCACAAGAAAAGTAACAAATCGCACGAGGAAAGTAACAAATTACACGAGGAAAGTAACAAATCGAACGAGGAAAGTAACAAATCGAACGAGGAAAGTAACAAATCGCACGAGGAAAGTAACAAATCACACGAGGAAAGTAACAAATTGCACGAGGAAAGTAACAAATCGAACGAAGAAAGTAACAAATCGCACGAAGAAAGTAACAAATCCACGAGGAAAGTAACAAATTCACGAGGAAGTTTTGTAGAAGTGAACAATATTATAGCTGTATATATTATAGTCTATCAAGATCTGATGTTCTGAAAACTAAACAGAAGTCATTGTATTATGTTTTGGTCTGAGTTTATGTTAATTTGTGCACGGTCACGGTGATTGAACTCATTGTATTCTATAAAATCTATCCTTTCTAAGGGCCAAAGAGGTTTATGTGGTCAACATTTGTATGAACATTTTTTTGAAGAGGGCCATTCGGGTCTTAATGATTTTAAAGCTCATATTATCGATATCACGGATGTTAATAAACCTATACAGAGAGGGAAAGTTTTTGGATTGAAAAATTGAATACATATGTACCACTGGGATTAAATTTGAGGGAGGAATATTAATGCAAGTCTATATATATCTCGTTTCTGACGAAGGGGCTGTGCCCCGAAACGTATCTTTAGTTTATGTATTTATTTATTTGAAGTTTAATAAAATTTATTTTCAATTTGAAGCTTTATATATAAATGAAGTTTTTTGGGAGGCTAAATATATATATATATAAATGAAGTTTTTTGGGAGGCTAAATATATATATATATATATATATATATATATATATATATATATATATATATATATATATATATATATATATATATATATATATATATATATAAAAGATTAGAAGACAAACTTGAATTACTTCATATGAACTTTATTTCACTTTTAGTTATTTTTTTTGTGAAATAAAGTTCCTATGAAGTAATTCAAGTTTGTCTTCTAATCTTATCAGCTCTACCACGGTATTGAGCACTCTACTCATATATGATTCCAAACTCGATACTTGTCTATATATATATATATATATATATATATATATATATATATATATATATATATATATATATATATATATATATATATATATATATATATATATATATATATATATATATATATATATATATATATATATGGCAAAATGCTGGGAAAATAAACAAAATTCAGGCAAATATGTCAGAATTATGTTACGTATCGATTATTTCGTTGCAAGTCTCATTATACAAATTCGTCTGCAGTAATTGAACAACATAATGAAACAAACCCCGAAAAACCATAACATGGAAAGGTCCTAAAATAGCATCAATTCCGTCATCATTTAAAGTTCTAATTAAAATTAATTTAAAGAGAATAATCTCAAGTTTATTCGTTGCAACTTTACACTTTGCTCGCGAAGATGGATTACACCGTATACTGTAGCTTTCAAGACAAAGAATTGACATAAATTACGAACGTCTCTTGTTTGTAAAATTATTTGGAAAATTCATTTTACTCAAGTATGTTCAAGTCTACAACAAAAGGAAAGCGCAATATAAGGCAGTTGTGTTTATCAATATAAGTTTCTATTTGGCTTTATATAATAACGTTAAGAATTCACGCGTTTTCATTGGTCGAGAGTCTATTAGTGTCTAGAGGAGAGACACATTGAATGACGTCATACAAAACCTTGTTTCGGTTTTTAAATAAAAATTACTTAAAGTAGCCAATAGCATTCGCTTATTTGTATAGATCATGTGCGCGTGATGTTTGTCAAGTTTCCACCTCTTCAAATTTCCAAATGAGCCACTCATTTGTTCATTTGTTCTTGCCATTTTACGGCGCCATACTGTATATATCTCTAATTGAACAGAATCTTATCTATTTGTGTTAAATAAAAGGGTTTGTGTGAGTGATATAGCGTGACAAGGCATGCACTAAAGCAACACAGCACTGAGTAATTAAAAAACACAACGGCTGCTATTGCATGCACTGCAATAGACGTACAGCTCCGGTAACTACAAAAAAGTATACGGCTGGCTTTAAAGACCTACTGTAAACTAGCGGCTGGGAATTAAACTATTCCACTGCAGTTCCAAATTGTTCAGACAAAATGGGTGCATATCTTCTGATCAACGTGATAGCGTTGTCTTGTGTCAACATCTTATTTCTTCTCCTTGGCTCGTTCCTCAACGCCGTTGTTATTCTGTGTTTCTGGAAGTCAAATAACCTGAGGAAGATGCGCTGTCATTTTATGATCCTGGTTCTGTCTTGTGTCGACCTAGCTGTTGTGGTAGTGATCCATCCTTTGATTATATTTTCAACGATCGCTTGGTATGTTGAAAATGGAGCTTCACAAGACAAACTCGACAATTCAAAGTATGTAACTTCAATATTATATGCTTTATCTTTCTACGCGCTTTTGACAATGAATATCGAACGATACGTTGCTATAAAGTATCCTATTTATCATTGGACATCAGTGACCAAAACTAAAATGATGCTTGTGTTTTCGACATTTTTATTGCTGGCATTAATTCTCAAAGTTTTGTCGGCCAAAGGCTTAGCACCTGAGCAACTGTCATCGTCCATAACATTCCTGTTTCTAGTAATAATAATGGTTCCTACGAACTGCAAAATGTACGCTATTGCAAGGCGAGCAGCAAAAAGGAACAAGGAGAGGACCGGGAAACAAAAACAGCAGAATACAACAGTGACATTTAAGGATAGTGATAAAATACAGGAAGAATGTGACAATCTACACGATGCAGAAAGTACCAATCAACACGAGGAAAGTAACAAATTACATGAGGAAAGTAACAATCTACACGAGGACAGTAACAAATCGCACGAGGAAAGTAACAAATTATACCAGGAAAGTAACAAGTTGCACGAGGAAAGTAACAATCTACTCGAGGAAAGTAACAAATCGCACGAGGAAAGTAACAAATTACACGAGGAAAGTAACAAATTACACGAGAAAAGTAACAAATCGCACGAGGAAAGTAACAAATTACACCAGGAAAGTAACAATTTGCACGAGGAAAGTAACAATCTACTCGAGGAAGGTAACAAATCACACAATGAAAGTAACAAATTACACCAAGAAAGTAACAAATCACACGAGGAAAGTAATAATAAAAAACCTAAAAATATTTCGACTTGTATTTTGGCTGTTGCCTGTTTCATCCTGTGCGCTCTTCCGGGAATGATATTTAATGGAATAATCTTTTCCCAGGGAAAAAACACGTTCGATAAAGATCATTATAAAGTGTTTTTGTTGTGGATAAGAACTCTTATAACTATGAATTCAAGCTTTAACACTTTGGTCTTTTTCTGGAAGAACTCGACACTGCGTAAAGAAGGAAAACAAGTATTGAAAAAAATTCGATAAGATAAACCTCAAGGGAGTCAAGGTTCTCGAACGATTTTATTTATTTCGCGTGCACATTTAAAAAATTGCATTGCTCGATATTTTTGTCCGTTTGTTCTTATGCGAGATTTTCCAAAGTTCATTCCAAGTGCAGTCCAGTATTTACAATGTGCACAATAAAACACCTGTGTGTTTAAAACAACAATTAAGTCAGCAAAATTTACAGTATAGAAATGACAGCGTTGTCATTTGCTGCAATAGTTTTAGGGCCTAAGGGGCAGATCGTCCCAAAAATATTGAACTTAGAAAAAATATCGCACAAGAACAAACGGACAGAAAAAATAACGAGCAATGCAATTTTTTATATGTGCCCACGAAATAAAAAATCTTTCAACAGCCTTGAACGACAAAAAAGATCGAGCAGCATTAGGAGGTTAAAGAAATTATTGGGCTCAATGAAAATCTACCCCATCAAATGGTCCGCCCCTAATATATAATATTAATAAAATCCATATATAGAATAGTCATCGCATGAAAATAGGTCATTGGTATACGTGTGAACCTCTTAGGTTTATAGTTAAAACGGGGATTATTTTCATTATAAACAACAAGTCAGCACTATTTAAAGTACGAAGATGTCAGCAAGTGAATGTCATTTAATAGACCTGCCTAACAGAATGTATAGCCTATCATACATACGTATTAAATGCTGATTAAAAAATTTTATTGCCAAAAATTCGAACTGGTGAAAACATATTCATTTCACAGATAGTTGCGGTAGTAATCACGCGTGTTAATAAAATGCTCCGCCGTCCGTCGTCCGTCTTTCATCTTCACCCTTGCAAGGATGGGATTCATTTGCTTAATACTAAAGGCCGTTTTCGACTAGGCGGAACTTTCCGCGCGGAGCGGAATTTCTCTTTGTCTTGTGATTTCTCGGCTTGAGCTAATTAGAAAAGACAAACCGCCAGTGGAAAACGGCCTTAAAGGCTGATTTCCACTGTTGCGTTTTTCGTACGCACGTAAAACTTTGAATCCTTCTATTTTTTAAATATTTTACATATAAGATAACAAATGCATATTAAAACTTGCGGAACACTAAACTCTGTTGCTTTATTTATTTGGTTATTTCATAAGTAACATTTAAACGGATTTAAGGTTTTACGTGCGTATACGTACGTATGAAAAACGCAACAGTGGAAATCAGCCTTAAGTCTAAAACATTACACGTAACTTTCAAGACAAAAAATTGACATACATATAATTCACTAAAACGTGTTTTTCTGCAAAATTGTTTCAAAATTCATTTTATAAATCTAGAACAAAAGGAAAGTGCAAAAAGGCAGTTGTTTTTATCAACACTCAGAAGGTTTCTATATTTGGCTATAAAACGGCTTCATATTTGTCTTTCTGAGTGCTATAACGTGACAAGGCATGTATTTAAGTTACAAAGCATTCAGCATAAAAAACACCAGCTGCAATAGTACGTGCAGAGTATAAAATATGTCACTCTAAGCAAAAAAGTATACGACTGAACTTAAAGAGCTAAACTGTCGAAGCACTGTACAAAACAATAGAACACTTAATAGAGGAAAGAAGACTTTTTCTACAGCGAGAGGTGAAGAAAGGTTGTCTGGCTTAAATTGACGCTGCAAGTTAAGTTAATCGACAGTTCAGATAAGATGGCTGCATATATTTTGATCAACGTGATAGCATTATCTTGTGTCAACATCCTATTTCTTCTCCTTGGCTCGTTCCTCAACGCCGTTGTTATTCTGTGTTTCTGGAAGTCAAATAACCTGAGGAAGAAACTGTGTCATTTTATGATCCTGGTTCTGTCTTGTGTCGACCTAGCTGTTGTGGTAGTCATCCATCCTTTGATTATATTTTCAACGATCGCTTGGCATGTTGAAAATGAAGCTTTACAAGACAAACTCGACAATTCAAAGTATGTAACTTCAATATTATATGCTTTATCTTTCTACGCGCTTTTGACAATGAATATCGAACGATATGTTGCTATAAAGTATCCTATGTATCATTGGACATCAATGACCAAAACTAAAATGATGCTTGTGTTTTCGGCATTTTTATTGCTGGCATTAATTCTCAAAGTTTTGTCAGCCACAGGCTTAGCACCTCAACAAATGCCATCGTCCATAACATTCCTGTTTCTAGTAATAATAATGGTTCCTATGAACTGCAAAATGTACGCTATTGCAAGGCGAGCAGCAAAAAGGAACAAGGTGCGGGCCGAGAAACAAAAACAGCAGAATACAACAGTGACATTTCAGGATAGTGATAAAATACAGGAAGAATGTGACAATCTACACGACGCAGAAAGTAACAATTTACACGAGGAAAGTAACAAATTACATGAAGAAAGTAACAATCTACACGAGGACAGTAACAAATTACACGAAGAAAGTAACAAATCACACGAGGAAAGTAACAAGTTGCACGAAGAAATCTACTCGAGGAAAGTAACAAATCGCACGAGGAAAGTGACAAATCGCACGAGGAAAGTAACAAATTACGCGAGGAAAGTAACAAATCGCACGAGAAAAGTAACAAATCGCACGAGAAAAGTAACAAATCGCATGAGGAAAGTAACAATTTACAAAATGATAATGTACAAGATAAACAACGCAATAAATTAAGCCCTAAAAATATTTCGACTTGTATTTTGGCTGTTGCCTGTTTCATCCTGTGCGCTCTTCCGGGAATGATATTTAATGGAATAATCTTTTCCCAGGGAAAAAACACGTTCGATAAAGATCATTATAAAGTGTTTTTGTTGTGGATAAGAACTCTTATAACTATATGAATTCAAGCTTTAACACTTTGGTCTTTTTCTGGAAGAACTCGACGCTACGTAAAGAAGGAAAACAAGTATTGAACGTAACGTAAGGTAAACCTATATAGTTCACTGAAGGGCTTCAATCCGGGTTCTTCCATTAATTTATAATATGTAGTATAGGTAGCCGAAATGTCAGAAACAATAAAAAAATTTAACCTGGATGATACTAAACCTATATAGTAAAGTCAAACTTATTTCGCACTTTTTAATTATTGTTACCGACAAGTTTTGTAGAAGTGAACAATATTAGCTGTATATATCATGGTATATCAAGATATGATGATGTGGAAATTAAACAGAAGTCATTGTATTATGTTTTGGTCTGAATTTATGGTGAGCTCATTGTATTTTCGTATTATGAAGTAACCATCCAATAGGGATAGCTGAGATGAAACGAGCAACCGCGATGATTAATATTTAATGAAGTTGAGACAAAGGATTTGTCAGCATGGTGAGGTACAATTCAACATCAAACAAAGCTCTTTTAATTTGTAGCCTTGAAGTTTGCCTGGCTTCCTGACCATCGTATCTTGATAGACTAAATGATTCGTCAAACACACTTGCGATTTTTCATTATAGACGGCTGGCCATGACATCATTTTGTACAACTTGATGGCAACTTTATGTTAGAAGCTGGCAACAGGCATTTTCTTATAGTTCAAGCCTTGGTGAACAAGACTATATATGTTACCACTTCTGATTTTTGCTTTATAGCCAAAAATTTGAGAATTTTAAAATTTTGCCTATTAAATTACTATGATCGGAAAAAATGTAAATCTCATGTTCTCTTATACCAAAAATAAACTATACCACTAGAAAGAGCGTAAAAAACTATATATAAGACAATTGAGTGAGTTCTACGTTTTTCCAATCCTATTTCGAGTTTTTAATACTAAAAATGCAAAATGACCAAATTAATGCTAATAAGTGCCCATTTTGCCAACTTTAACCATCTTTAATTCAAAATCGGCTTGAAAATCGCACTAGTCGCTTAATTGCCTTGTTAATATTTGCGATATTTGTAGTGGTGTAGTTTATTTTTCCTATAAGAGAACATGAGATTTTACATTTTTTTCCATCATAGTAATTTAATAGGCAAAATTTTAAAATTCTCAAATTTTTGGCTATAAAGCAAAAATCAGAAGTGGTAACATACAGTCTTATTCATCAAGGCTTGAACTATAAGAAAATGCCTGTTACCAGCTTCTAACATAAAGTTGCCATCAAACTTTCTTAGAGGCACTTTTTGCCACCTTGGCCGGCCGACTATTAATACTTCTCGAACCGTGTAATTTCCTAAATTTATAGACAATAAAATTTGTAGATGTCATAGTATACTAATTTTAGCACTTCCATTCATGCTCAGCTGAAATATTGATCAGCGTCCTAAGCACGGCTCGTCAAAATTATGTGGGTGGGCCGTTTGCCAACTGGAACGTAACAAGAATGGAGCATCTGTAACTGCTTTTTATAGCTCTATTAACCACCCACGCACATAATATATGCCAGTGATCTCAAATCCATGTTGTTAATTATTTATTTCATCTGCGCATATCATTACGAGCGCTAAGAGTATAAAGTATATCGCTTCTTAGCTTTTTCTTCGTGTCCATACCATCTCAAACTTGCTTCCCTCACCTTCTCTGCAATGTCTACCACACCACATCTTCTGATCTCTTCATTCCATAATGTGTCTGACCAGCTCTCCTTCATCTCTTCTTATTACATGTCCATACCATCTCAACCTTGCTTCTCTCGCCTTCTCTGCAATGTCTACCACACCACATCTTCTGATCTCTTCATTCCATAATGTCTCTGACCAGCTCTCCTTCATCTCTTCTTATTACGTGCCCATACCACCTCAACCTTGCTTCCCTCACCTTCTCTGCAATGTCTACCACCCCACATCTTGTAATCTCTTCATTCCATAATATCTCTGACCAGCTCTCCTTCATCTCTTCTTATCACGTGTCCATACCATCTCAACCTTGCTTTCCTCACCTTCTCTGCAATATCTACCACCCCACATAGTCAAACAAGTGAACGCCAAGCGCCAAACACTGCGCCAACATTGAACGTGCGTATGAAAATCTTTATCATATAATAGGACAGTTATATATTTGCTAATGTGACAGGAATCGTTCAATGTAATTTAGTAGTGTCAATAACATAAAGTAAAATTTCTAGAAAATAATTGAAATAAAATTTCATTAAACTGCTATATCATGCCTGGAATAACATTTAAACATCACTATAAAATAAAATTATTACTGCTATATCATTTGCCTTTCGAAAAGCATTTAAATCTATTTGTTGCGACTTTAGTTCGGTCCTGATGAAGACACTAGACTGGAGTGCTGAGACATTGGATCATCGCGAATCTAATTTGTTCAGGGATTACATTCCTTTACTTAAATCAAAGTAGCGAAACACGTCTGATATTATACATGGTTGCATGAAGACACTAGACTGGAATCAACGGTCGTAAATGTAATTTGTGGCGAGCGAAACATAACTTTTCAAGACAAAAAATGACATTATATAACTTGTATTCATTAATGATTGTGGTGTTAATCACAACTCAGGTAATGTAGTTTTTTTTAAAGATTACATAATTCACCGAATAAAAGAAAAGTACATAAAAGGCAGCTGTGTTTATCAAAGGTCTCCATGTGACTTGGCGGCTTTGTATTTATATTTCGACAAATGACAAATTATGAAGCTGTGAATCGAAAAGCACTCTCACTATTTACACAGTACAATATAACAGAGCACTTAGAGAGGAAAGAAGGCTATATCCACAACGAGAGCTGAAGAAAGGCTGTCTGGCTTAAATTGTAGCTGCAAATTAAGTTAATCGACAGTTCAGATAAGATGAGTGCATTTCTTCTGATCAATGTGATAGCGTTATCTTGTGTGAACATCTTATTTCTACTCCTTGGCTCGTTCCTCAACGCTGTTGTTATTCTGTGTTTCTGGAAGTCAAATAACCTGAGAAAGAAGCGCTGTCATTTTATGATCCTGGTGTTGTCTTGTGTCGACTTAGCTGTTGTGGTAGTGATCCATCCTTTGATTATATTTTCAACGCTCGCTTGGTATGTTGAAAATAAAGCTTTACAAGCCAAACTCGACAATTCAAAGTATGTAATTTCAATATTATATGCTTTATCTTTCTACGCGCTTTTGACAATGAACATCGAAAGATATGTCGCTATAAGGTATCCTATTTATCATAAGACATCAATGACCAAAACTAAAATGATGCTCGTGTTTTCAGCATTTTTTTTGCTGGCATTAATTCTTAAGGTTTTGTCGGCCACAGGCTTAACACCTCCACAAGTGCCATCGTCATTAACATTTCTTGTTTTATTAACGATAATGCTGCCGACCAATTGTAAAATGTATATCATCGCAAAACGAAGACGAAAAGAGAAAAACAGACGCGATACAGGGAACAAAATGCAAAATGAAAAAGAGAATTCGAAGAATAGTGAGAAGACGCACGAGAAAAGTTTCAAATTACAAGAGGAAAATAACAATTTGGCCGAGAAATGTAGCAATTTATCCGAGAAAAGTAACAATTTATCCGAGAAAAGTAGCAATTTATCCGAGAAAAGTGATAACTTTTTACCAAAGAAAAGTACCAATTTATCCGAAATAAGCGACACATTACCCGAGGAAAGTGACAATTTATCCGAGAAACGTTCCAATTTATCCGAGAAAAGTACCAATTTTTCCGAGAAAAGTACCAATTTTTCCGAGAAAAGTGACAAATTACACGAGAAAAGTACCAATTTATCCGAGAAAAGTGACAAACTATGCAAGAAGGGTGACAGTTTACAGGACAATCAACGCAAAAGACACAACAAACGAGCAAAAATAAGTCTTCAAAATATCTCGATTTGCATTCTGGCCGTCGCGTGTTTCACCTTATGTGCCCTTCCGGGAATGATATTTAATGGACTGAATATTTTGAAGGGAAGAGGGTGGTTTGGTAAAGAGAATTTTCAATTGATTCTGTTGTGGGTGAGAACCCTCATAACTATGAATTCAAGTTTCAACAGTTTGTTATTTTTCTGGAAGAACGCGATATTGCGAAAAGAGGGAAGACAAGTATTCACAAAGATTCGAAAAGACTAGATTGTTGCATGTGAGAGGCGCGTGATGGAACATAAGATCCTGCGCAGAGACAGATTGTAAACAGATGGTATACGTTAGTTTTGGTTAAATGAATGTACATAGCTTTATATGTAAGTTTCCCAGTAAATAATCTTGTAGTTATGTGCCCCTTGCGGAAATATCTTAGGCTGACATTGTCAGCGAGTTTATATTAAACAACCAATAAGGGACTGCCCTTTTTGGATCTGTAGTGAACACAGTAGAACTGATAGAGCTATCTAGTAGCCTAATACAAATTGATTTTAGGTTATGTTAGTTTTGTTTAATTTACAAATAATCGTTCAATTCATAAGTATGTAATGTGTCCAATTTTTTTCATGTGCTTTATTAAATCCACCGATTTTAAAAACGTGGGATCCAATAAGGGTAAAGTGTTTTACAAAAAAACTAACGTGGTTTTGTGTCTCAACTACCTGAAAAAGATATCTCAAACGTGGTGGCCCAATGTAGGTAGTATATTCTATAATAAGCTGTCGTGGTTTGTGTCTGAACTACCTGAAAAAGATATCTCAAACGTGGTGGCCCAATGTAGGTAGTATATTCTATAATAAGCTGTCGTGGTTTGTGTCTGAACTACCTGAAAAAGATATCTCAAACGTGCTGGTCCAGTGTAGGTAGTATTCTACAATAAGCTGCCGTGGTTTGTGTCTGAACTACCTGAAAAAGATATCTCAAACGTGGTGGTCCAGTGAGAGGTAGTATTCTACAATAAGCTGTCGTGGTTTGTGTCTGAACTACCTGAAAAAGACATCTCAAACGTGGTGGTCCAGTGTCGGTAGTATTCTCAGACTATACAATAAGCTGTCGTGGTTTGTGTCTGAACTATCTGAAAAATATATCTCAAACGTGGTGGTCCAGTGCGGGTAGTATTCTACAATAAGCTGTCGTGGTTTGTGTCTGAACAACCAGAAAAATTAAAAACATTGTTTCAGGACAGGAATAATCATATCTTAAATTAAAGATCATATTTTTGCGTCACTTTCCCTTATTATCCTTCTTGCTCATTTATTATTTAAATATTTACAAATTTTGAAAATTTAAATGCTCAAACACTGTGTCAATCAAGTTGATTGATTAAACTCACAACGTTTCTTGTTCATTAACGCGCAGTGCTGTCCAATTTAGTCACAGCTTGAATCTAGTTTAGTTCTATTAATATTAAATATAATTATCCCCAAATCCGGCCCTAGCCATCTCACCCGCAAATTTTAAGGCAGAAAAACGTAGGTCTGACTGTGTTCAGGCTATATATACATTATACAATAATAGGAATATATTGAAGGGCATTTTGTATCGATGGGAATCTTGAGCTGTTCATCGTTCCTACTTTGCTATTAAGGAAAGGTCTGTCCGATTAACCGTTCCCTCTCTTTGACTTATTGTCATTAAAAAACTAAAAAAGCTATCTTATTCAAATAAAGTTTATTGAACACAGTAATGTCTAACGTAAATTTTGATGTATGCATTAAACATTTCTTTAAAATACTAGCCAAGATATAGGCGTTTAAACTCAAGGTAGCATTTTTGGAAGAAGCGAAAAATGGCCATTTATCACATAATGCAAATTAATATAGACCATTGCAAATTAATAGAAGAAGCGAAAAATGGTCTAAAACGGTCTATTAATTTTTCACTATGGTAATAAAATGGCCATTTTTCGCTTCTTCCAAAAATGCTATACCTTGAGTTTAAACGCCTATATCTCGGCTAATATTCTATAGAAATGTTTAAGGCATACATCAAAATTTAAGTCAGATATTAGAGAGCTTAATTTAAGCTTCGCGTTCAACGACAAACGTCAGGCAAAGAAAAATTTTACGCTATAAAGCAATAAAAGTAAATGGGCTTGCTGTTTTATAACTATAGAATGCTTTTTCTTTTTTTTTTTTCTTTCTGTGTTGGTGTAATGTACTCAGGTGAATATGATGCTTGTGATGTTACTCTGAGTGTATATCCACACCGGGCAAGCTTGAAAAATATGCCTGACCACGGTGGCATATTTTTCAAGCTTGCCCGGTGTGGATATACACTCAGAGTAACATCACAAGCAATATAGAATGCTTAACTATTCCTGTGTCATATGAAAAAAAATATGACACGCAGAATTCGAACGAAAATTATGCCAAGAAAAGCTTAAACTCCCTATTGCTGCGTTCAATAAACTTTACTTGAATAAGATGGCTTCTTTAGTTTCTTAATTACAATAAGTCAAAGAGGGGGAACATTTTTTGCGCCACCTGCGGCCCTGCAATTCTAGTGCACCTCGACCTCACGCAGTTGTCAAGGGCGGCGCGCAAGTTCACTATAATTTCCCTCTTTAATACTTTGTTCCACGGGTCTCACATAATTAGAACAGAGGTGATAGGAAGCATGGTATGCTGTTTCTTTTTAATCAAACCGATGCGTCGTTCGTATTTTCAACTAACAGGCCACAACGTCTGAGTAGTTTCTTTCCCTCGCAACGCAACGCCGTTGTCTTATAAAAGAATATCACGCAATTAAATGTCGAATTCATGGAGAGAAACGTCTGCGCCCACAACAAGAGAGGCATACGGGTCTCGTCGCTAAACGTGTCTTTACGAGCGTACCATATTCCATTGTGGACCAACACCGGACAACTACAGACGAAAAAGCATACAATTGCTAAAAAACATGTCGACGCGTTTTTCGTATCGGCTGCTATTCCGCGACCTTCATCATTTCCCGCCTCAGTACTTAGGCTGTCATGTTCGTTGGAATAGTAACGCATAATTAATGCATCGTTTTGTCTGATAGCGCGAACCGTCACGAGCATTTGATAGTTGATGTAAAGTATTAGGAGAAATATTGCGCCCAGAATTGTCAAGCCAGGAATTTCTCCCGGGACAACCTTTTTGTGTGAAAGAATCGAGACAATCACGACGAAACCCCAAAATATCAAAAGCAATCCGATAAGTCTTCGCTTTGTGATGGATCTTTGATGAAAATACGGATGTCTGACCGCCCAGTATCGTTCCAAGTTCATGGTAAGCAGGGTGAACATTGAAAAACCGAAAAATGGATCGAAAATGAAACGGATTATGAAATGTCGCGTGAACCAGAGAATAGCAAACGACAGCAACAACGGGTGAATTATTGCGACAACGACTAAATCTGAACACGCTAGAACAAGAATCATAAAATAGCATAGTTTCTTGCGAAGTTGGGTACTTTTCCAAAAGCTTAGAATCACCAAGGAGTTTAGAAAGATTCCTGCCAAGGCGAAGAAGCCGTTAACGACGCATAATGCGAGCATGTTTGCCCACGTCCCAAAGTCCATTGTATATGCACTTGAAACACTTCAGTTTTTACTGCGATATCTCTGTATTCCTTGAATTTAGATGAATAGATGATGAATATTCTATCTTTTAACTTTTCTCGAAATTTTTCCCAAGTATAAAAGTCAATTCTCTTTGAAAAGTCTTTAACTGAAGGAAATTAGCAATGTCACAGCAATGTAATGGCCATCCATGTAGTCGGCATCCCATTTAATTTACTTTGGTAGGCCATAATCCGAACTTTATTATAGAAACCAGAATATTCCAACGTGATGGGGATTGGTTTAATCTGTTCCTATTTTTAGCAAATTAGATATGCATGGATTCTCTATAGGAAAGTGTTCTCCGGAATGAAAAATATAGGAACTTTTCGCCGCCCTATGGCAATGTGCAAAACGTCTGGTATAGTCTTAATACATTATTTTATAGTAGTATATATTGCCTGTTCGCTTCTCTTTAATCTTTTAATCCGGCGGCATTTAGTCTAATATCCATTGGCAAATGTTTCCAATGAAAAGTATTATGGCAGCTTTAATATACGCTGATAAGAGTCCTCGAGTTCCTAGCCGTTTCTGCCTTCTGAGTTTAATACCGTTTAACTCGCTACAGTTGATGTAATATCCATTAGAAAATGTTTTCAGTAAAAAGTAGAAGAGCTTTGCGCCATCTTAAGCACAAATGCAAAGTTTATGGCAGCTTCAATATGCTGTTATATATGTAATCGCGTCTGTTTATGGCTTCAGCCCACTGCAGAAAAGCCCGTTAATGTTGCAATATCAAATCCCACAGTCCAAACCACACAAAGGCACTTTTACCATAGAGAAACCTTATAGTCAATTAATCCTTTGCACTTTGTATTGAAAAGTAGTATATGACCTTTAATGTCTTTGAATAAAAATGCAAAATTTATTGCGGCTTCATTAGAGTCTCTAGCTATATATAATCAGATCCAAAGGAAATAATCTTACCGAACATCAAATATCCATAAAAAAGGTCCATTTTGAAGTGACTTGTATTTTAGAACTTTCGAGTCAACACTAAATGTTACCAAATGTATGTGCACAATCCTTTGCGCTAAATAATAAGTTGTAGGTTCGATTTTCTTTACGCCGTTTCATTCAGTTAAGCTTGGACTATTTAATACAAGGATTCAAAATTCATTTTATGAAGGCCCGACAGTTTGTTGTGACTCTTAGAAATCATCCAAGTTTGTTTACAAATATATGTTACGTAGAATCCTTTCACAATTGTGATGTCGCTCGCTTCCCGCTCTTTAACCGAGAGGCCGCTTTGTCTGCAATGTTTAAACGGCAAAATCAAATATTCATTTTCTAACTTGAAGTATATAGTGTGCGTTAGTCTTTCCAAGCGCGAACTAAAATTACATCAAGTTGAGTCCTACATGCTATCAGAAATGTTTTGACATAGAATACATTAATTTTCTGTGTGCCATATGGCCTAAAGTTGGATTTGACTACGTGCGGCCATCATCTATGATATTATTAATTAACAGCGGTATATTTGAGTTCCCTGGCGTTAGGCTTGACTGTAAACAATCAAATTATAACTAAATTCGTCCTTTTTAAATATGCATGAGAAACGTCTGGCTCAAAACATCAATAGATATAACGTTTTCAATATCGCTGATAACTTTAAGCACTATCGCGCAGCAGATGGTGTTCAATTAAACAACCGGCAGTTGTCAGAGAAAATAATGTGCTAATCACGTATTTGAATGCAAAAAAAAATAGACACAAACCACGGCAGCTTGTTGTATAAGAATACTACCTACACTGGACCACGTTTGAGATATCTTTTTCAGGTAGTTCAGACACAAACCACGACAGCTTATTGTAGAATATTACCTACACTGGACCACCACGTTTGAGATATCTTTTTCAGGCAGTTCAAATACAAACCATGAACGGCAGCTTATTTTAGAATACTACCTACACTGGACCACCACGTTTGAGATTCTTTTCAGGTAGTTCAAACACAAACCACGACAGCTTATTGCAGAATACTACCTACACTGGACCACGTTTGAGATATCTTTTTCAGGTAGTTCAGACACAAACCACGACAGCTGATTTGCAGAATACTATACCTACACTAGACCACCACGTTTGAGATATCTTTTTCAGGCAGTTCACACACAAACCACGACAGTTTATTGTAGAATACTACCTACACTGGACCACCACGTTTGAGATATCTTTTTCAGGTAGTTCAGACATAAACCACGGCAGCTTATTGTAGAATACTACCTACACTGGACCACCACGTTTGAGATATCTTTTTCAGGTAGTTCAGACATAAACCACGACAGCTTATTGTAGAATACTACCTACACTGGACCACCACGTTTGAGATATCTTTTTCAGGTAGTTCAGACACAAACCACGGCAGCTTATTGTAGAATACCACCTACACTGGACAACCACGTTTCACTCCCATAAACAATATACAAAATATCCTCACATACCTCGCACGCAATCTCGTTCCCAGTCTGCAGGAAGGTGTCCGGGACACAGTGACTCACTGATATATCAAACTCCAAGTACATGACGTCACGCCTATGACGTAAGAACTCCGCGATCTAGTGGAAAATAAAATGGCAGTGTGCATGGTAAATATACATACTGGTGTACATAAACGCACTTCAAACCAACACATTATTTGGGATTTGCTAGTGGCGAAGCTACCCATAGCAACAGGTCATGCTACGCGAATTTTTAATGATATGCATTATCGAAACCTTTCAGTAGAAATGTATTGCCTTTGACCTATTTTTGATGCAGGTTTATTAGCATAGCATGACCAGTTGCCATGGCTAGCTTCGCCACTGGGATTTGGTCATTTGGGAGTCTATAAATAAGGAGTTTAGGTTGCATGTAGGACGGAGATCGTCAGGACGACGGCTATCTACACAATGACATTAATCCTATAGCTGACAAAAGAAATGAATAATTAAAAGTCTAGCAGGGGTTTTAGACGTCATCCAAGCTCTGTTGACAAAGGCAAGATGCATATTTTCACGTCTTGTAAAGTACGCTAGCATTTCAAGACGCGACAGGTAGTTTTTCTAGCAGAAGTTGATCAAAATAATTAATACTCGAACCGCGAGTAATTTCCTGTACTAAGTGACAAGTTATTCAATCGTATACCTGTTCTGGGTCTGTGGAATTTTCAAGATGGTTTATCTGTTTCTGTATTTCACGTAACTCTGCACCTGCACAGACAGAAAAACTATCAAATACAAGAAATACGAACATAATCCTTGTTCCAACAAGACTAATACAGACTGTTCGTAACAAGTTGCTACGAGCTTGTTGTCATCAACTTGTTAACAACTTGTTACGTGCAGACGATATCAGACTTGTTGGGACAACTTGTTGCGAGTTTGTTGGCCTCATCAACCTTGTTACAAGATGATAACAACTTGTTCCAGACTTGTCAACAACTGGTAACAAGCAGTGCGAACACATCTTGTTGACAAGTTGTGTAGCCGATTTTCACGTTAGAAACCTGCTCGGGTACATCATATGTTTTAGTATAAGATAATATCCCTACCTATCCCTTCCGTTCCTCCCCAGTCGGCGGTCACGCCAGAGAATTCCAACTTTTGAGAACCAAGTCGTGCGTGTGAGCTCCCCAGGCGCGCATGCGCACATAGATACTGGCAAATGTCATGAAGTGATGATACGATTTGCTAAAAATAAAAAATGGCCTTAGACGTCACTGATGGTGACCTTTCGAGCTAAAAGTAACTGTGACATAAAAGTATAAACCGATTTATAACTAGTTTAACCAAAAGAAAAGGTGCTTACCAGAACTGTTTTAAGAGACTTGGTTCGCTCAGCCCTTGATAATTTTCCAAACATCGTCAGTATCTACAGAAAAAATCGATTTGGAAGATATAAATATATACTCAGAAATGCTGCTTAAAAAATAACTTTATTTACAGTTAAGAATAGATATCATTACTAGTACAGATACAAACGTACCTCAGTGTAATGTGGTATATACCAAAGATTAACCAAATGTTGACCGTCATGTGACAGTAGCTTGCGCTCACGTGGGGTGAAAGTTCTGCATAAAAGAAAACATCCTTCCATTAACAATAATCGAATTGAGAAAATAATATATAGACTAAAAAAATAAATTATCATACACTCAATTCATACACTTTATATAAATTCGCCCACATGCATATACAATGTAAATTCCATTCCATGCTTATATTATCCATAGCCTGTCGAAGGGAAGATGGCTGTGAAACTCATTAGAATAAGAATATGAACTCATTAGCTATGTTAGTCAACGTTTATTCATAAATCTGGTCCTTCACCGTCACGTGCATGTGTATTGTATTTTTGCCGAAACTATCAATAGCAATTTCCAGTTTCCCCTATATTGCTCGAGTCACGGATAGGTACAGTGTAACTTTCCTAAAACATTGCTACTGGTGGATTTGGCAAAAATACAATACAATTATACACACGTGACGGTGAAGGACCAGATTTATGAATAAACGTTGACCAACATAGATAATGAGTTATATTGTTATTCTAATGAGTTTCACAGCCATCTTCCATTCGATAGGCTATGACTTATCAGAACAGTGGTAACTACTAACTAGACATGTGAGTTATCCCACCCAATTCACTCACATATACAGTATAATTCAAATGCTTGATTACCTTTGTTCCATTATGCTTACATTATCAGAACAGTGGTAACTAGACATGTGAGTTATCCCACTCAATTCACTCACATCATAGTTAATAGAGGAGATGGTTTGGAAACTCATTAGCAGTACAATAAACCTCACTATCTATGTTTTTGTTCAGGTTAATGCAAAAATGTGGTCTTTCATCGTCACGTGCGTATTGTATTTTTGCTCAACCAGCCAATAGCAACGGTTTTGTCCAATTGCCCATCCATGACTTTAACAATAGGACATTTTGAACATTCCTATTGGTTGACTTGAGAAAAATACAATACGCACGTGACGATGAAAGACTACATAAACCTGAACAACATAGATAATGAGGTTTATTGTGATTTTATTGTAATGCTAACGAGTTTCCAAACCATCTCCTCTATTAACTATGCTCACATATATAATTCAAATGCTTGGTTACCTTTGTTCCATTCTATGCTTACATTATCAGAACAGTGGTAACTAGACATGTGAGTTATCAATTCACTCACATATATAATTCAAATGCTTGGTTACCTTTGTTCCATTCTATTTCAACGGTATCAGAACAGTGACGTTTACTTACGGAGTCGAATCGTCAACCAGTTTATCCTGCTCATCAGATTTCGGTTCGAATTCTTCGCCAATCATGAAATGAGAATCCCTAAAACACGACAAAGATTTGCGTTAAATACCCTAAGATCAGGCTTGACAGGGGGGCATATAGATTTTAGAAATTTGTTACCCATAAGTACCTAGTCGTTGGAAAATGGCTCATAAGGTCGAGCAGGCTTCCACAATACGCAATTATCTAAGAGAAATAGAAAATAAAATGTAACTCACAATGTTAATAACTGAGGTATTACTGTAATTCCGGATAATTTTCAATGTTCCGGAACAGTCGTGTCAAAAATCAGACGCGACAATATAATTGTCGTTGACTTTCTGAAGGGTTTGGATTCTGCTTCATTCACTTTGGTTTTTTACAGTGGTGTCAAGTAACGAAGTAAATGTACTTCGTTACTGTACTTGAGTACTATTTTTGAGAAGTGAGCATGTAACAAAGTAAACTTTTTCTGGAGTACTTTTACTTGGAACGAAGTTGTTTAAAAGAAGTAACGTTTTTCTTCGTTATTTTCATTTTGTGGTGAAGTATTTCGTTACTTTCTCACATTTGTTTAATTTTACGTGATTTATTCCCGATGTATTTTAATTTTGGGATAGGTAATAGAACCTCTACATGCGTCTGGGACCTCTCGTTTGTGGCTTACTTATAAGCATAATTTATTTAATGGATTTCTTATATCTTCAACGGGGTCTGGAAAGTTGACCATGCCGTGAAATATTGTATATTATGGTGCACGCATATAATGCGTATGTTGTTTTGTGTCTTTTGTATGTCAATCCATTGGAGAAGTCCCCTACACGCTATAGACAATAGTACTTTTACTTTTACTTTGTACTTCAAGTATTTTTTCAGGATACTTTGTACTTTTTACTTAAGTACGTTTTGTCTCCAGTACTTTTTACTCTTACTCAAGTCGTTTTATTGTTAATTACTTCTACTTTTACTCAAGTACAAATTCAAAGTAATTTAGGCACCACTGTTTTTTTAGCACAAAAACAAAAATCTTTTTTGATTCGTACCTGTGCTCGCATCGAGTAATCAGAAACAGACATCTGTAGTGCCCGACAGAAACTCAAGATAAGACTCCTGCAAAAATATTATTTCAGTCATGTTAGTACGAAACCAGGCGTATTTTATAGCTACAAACCCTGGCTATAAGGTAAGTCAAAAACAGGCATACTTTATAGTCACAAAGGCACAGAATAAGGCACACAGAAGGGCCACAGTCGATTACATTTTCTGGCCAATAAACGCGCTGTATTGGCTGGCCGCCATCTTCCTGGCCAGTCAATTGCATATTTTTGCATAGAAAAATGGTGACACGTTGCACCGCTGAGTGGCCCTTCTGGTACTGATCTTTATTCTGTGACAAAGGTATGGCGAAAACAGGCATATTTTATACAAAAGCCCTGACCAAGCGCTCACCGTTTTAATTTCATAGTTTCATCAACATTTTTCAAGACTGTACTCATGGTGTTTTTCTTGTTCACATATTCATTCAACATAATATCTCGCAACCATGCCTACAACATACACGCAACAGTCTCGCAACACGTTCGCAACAAGCTTGTAACAACCTTGGGCTTTAGGTTTTCACAAATTGATTTGGATCAATAATGCATACAATGAGTCTAACAGTAACAAAGCGAATAGCGCTACATAAGAATAACTAATTTTAAAACAGCATTAATAATTCATAAGGGAAAGACACAGGAAATCAATACTGTGTTGGTGGTTTTATACGTGATAAAAAATCATATTCATTTACATAAACTTTAGCTTTGATTTTCTCGGCGTAGACGACGTTAATTTTTAAAATTACTTCGCCAATGAATTCATAAGATGGGTCGTTGTTTAAGCCGTTTAAAACAGTCGCAGTGCGTGCTTTATCAGATGTAAAACACTCGGCTGTCGCCTCGTGTTTTATATCTGATAAAGCACTTCTGCTTGTGTTTTAAATAGTACATAAATCGTTTAATTAATTCACCTTCTCAAGTTGGGCGGAAACAAATGCCAATTTAGGCACGTGATTTCTGTCGCGTTTCACGTGCGATGTGAATGTCATTTGCGTGGGAGTTGCCGTGCCCGACGTCTCGTGACTGCTTGGGTCGAGTAAGTCCATGGTGCTGACCGCTGGTACTTTAGAGACAGCGCTACAATAGAAAATATTGAAAATAAGTTACGGGAGTTTGTGTCTGAATTATCTGCTAACATTGTGGTGAACGCATCTTCCATTACAAAAAAAAATAACAAAATTATTTATTTATTACCTTGTTGAAACATTCTTGTTCACAGTTGCTCCTGATCGTCTCTCTATGTTCACAGCGTTCCCACATTCACACCCGAGGACCACAGATGCAGCAAGCAAGTTTTTATGAACAACCTATGAAACAGTAGATTTGTTTAGGTTTTCCTATAGTAACATTGGGTCGATAACAGATGATCCTTACTGGACCTCTAGGAAGAACAGTTTAGAACTGATAGAGCTATCCAGTATAAATAAATAAAGTTAGTTTAGTTTAGGTTTCCTCCTGTAGTAACACTGGATCAATAAGAGATGATTCTTACTGGACCTCTAGGAAGAACAGTTTAGAACTGACACAGCTATCCAGTATAAATAAAGTTAGTTTAGTTTAGGTTTCCTCCTGTAGTAACACTGGATCAATAAGAGATGATTCTTACTGGACCTCTAGGAAGAACAGTTTAGAACTGATAGAGTTATCCAGTATAAATAAAGTTAGTTTAGTTTAGGTTTCCTCCTGTAGTAACACTGGATCAATAAGAGATGATCCTTACTGGACCTCTAGGAAGAACAGCTTAGAACTGATAGAGCTATCCAGTATAAATAAAGTTAGTTTAGTTTAGGTTTCCTCCTGTAGTAACACTGGATCAATAAGAGATGATCTTACTGACCTCTAGGAAGAACAGTTTAGAACTGATAGAGCTATCCAGTATAAATGAAGTTAGTTTAGT